AATTCCACATCTGTTAGTGTCAAGCACTCATAATAGTTTTCGATAAAAATCTTGATGTGAGCAACCCCAAGCTTGAATTCATCAAGCTCTGTGTTTTGAAGGTATGAAAATGACTTGTCTTTTAAAATTAATGCAACTTGTATAAGATCATACAAGTTCATTAATGGAAAATCTGCAACAATAAACTCACAAATATTTCCATTTGCCCTGGCAACCACATATTTGAAATTTTGGACTGTGTTTTCGAATACCACATCCTTTTTCATACTGATCACTTTCTTGATTTTTATTAAAGACCAAACTTCCTCAGGGGCTTTAGCAAGAACATCACAAAATCGAATTTTCATGTGTGTACCTTCATCCTTATCTTTAAAATTCCCTTCTGCTTTGAACTGAGGCATGATGAACATCATTTCGTTTATCGGAAAATCCAGCTGACTTGTATCAGAATTTGTGACCAAATAACTCTACTTTGGTTTCTTCTCGAATGTATACATGTGATTAAAAGCAACCTTGGCCTCAATAGTTTCGTAATTGTAGTGTTTGGCTGGATCACCTTTATCCATTCCCTTTGGATCACTAGCACGCTGACTCATAATGCTTTGAATAATCCTCAGTTTTTGTCACACCCCCAAACCAAGGATGGCGGAAACGTCCGGGGGTGGAGGACTTCATGTATAGTATCACAACAATGAGTATAATAGTGCTCAAAGTAAATACAACCATCATAAATATAATTGAAAAGGTTACACCACAGCATATGTTTACATGTTTCAAAATCAATTACATTATGATGACAAAATGAACTGTTTGACGATTTAACGTCCCATCCTCAAAGTGCTGATGTTTCTCTGTTTCACTGATTTCCTGAGAATACAAGTAGTTTTGAAAAAGTGTCAACAATTAAGTTGGTGAGTTCATAAGAGTTCTGTTTGAGGAAGAAATCGTTTTCCTTATAAAAGTGATAGAGTATGATTTCCAGAAAATCCAATATTTTCTTAGTTAAGTGTGAAATGAATGCTCCTATGTTATGTGATAATGAACCCTAGAAAGACTCATAGATTTCCTTCTATAATCGCCTAGTGTATATAAGTTATATAAAATTTAAGTTAAATAAACCTTCGAATATAATGGGTCTGCCCTAGGTCCACAACCAAACAAGGAACAGGAAGTAAGGCGAGCCCACCAATTCTAAGTCAATTATGACTAGATTCTTATATAACTCTATCATATACACTTAGCACTTATAGCTGAAGTCTAACAATTCTAGATGAATTATAGTTTTAACAGAGATATGATTCCAAAGAAAATCCTATATTTTCCTTATAAAAGTTATGTGGTCCTAA